GCAATATTCTTGATTCTGTTAATCTCGCTAATTCTATCTTGTACATTGGTGCAATATAAGAATGCTCTTTTAATAAGCGACCTAAACGAAGACATTTTGTATTTAATCGGATCATTAGACCATGCCGGGATATATAGTGGAGCATGTGTGGGTTTTAGATACACTGCCGTTTGTACATATCCTTGTTTGAATCTTATGTTAATATCTAAAAAATGGATATTTGTATGGCTTTTTTGTTCAAGCTTTAGTTTTAACCCATGCTTATTGTTATTTATCATACTTAAAAATTCCTCAATTCTTCGGTTATCCTTCCAAATTATCAACACGTCATCTACATATCTTTTGTATATTACAATGTCCTCCATGAATTTTCCTAGGACCTCCTTTTCTAGTTGACGTACCACTAATTCGCACAAGAGTCCCGACATGGGACTACCCATTGGGACTCCTTTTCTTTGTTTGTACACCGTCCCATTGAACGTAAAAAAGGACTGATAACACATCAAATCCGCCAATATATTTAAGTCCTCCATATACGCTGTTAATCCTGGATTATGCTGTACCATAAATTCAACAAGAGTATTGAAACAAGATGTTAAATTCATGGAAGGGTACATGCTTTCAAAATCCATAACCGTTCCTATTTCATCATTCATCAACGCCAAACCTTGTAATTCTTTTACCAACTTATTTGGATCCTGCGTCACATACACACTATCTTCCAAACTTTCATATATATACTTTTTTAATCTTTTCTCTAGTATAAAGGTTGGTGCACCGCATTTTTCAACCACCGGTCTAATTTCTTTGTTTTGCTTGTGCGTTTTTGCGAACGCAAAGATTCTGGGTAATCGGGGGCATGGGTTATGTGACTTTTTTAATAACGTCATGTACTTCGCGAGTGGCGTTTTTTCTAGCTTTTTAATCTTGTTGTTCGTTACTGTTACTATCTTTTCGTCTACGATATCACATTCCGTTTTCTTAATATAATCTTTAATGGCTTCATTATATCTTCCTCTTTTCATAATCACCATTTGTTTAGTTTTGTCAGCTTTTGTTAACACCAACTGATTTTTTGTTAGCCAATCTTTTGTATATTTTATATTTAACTTTTCTCTACAAAGCACCTCGTGTCTTTCCTTTTTTCTGAAAACCATCTTCCATCTAAAATAATCTCTTTCTACTTCATTAAGACCGGCCATACCTCTTTCCATTTCAGCCATTGTAGTTTCCCAATCGTTCTTGTTATTTGGAACGTAACTGGGTCCATTCTTTAACACCATCTCCACATTTTTTGGTACCTTAATCTGGTCCCATAGAATATAAGGTGGTACATTGCTTTTTCGCTCCATGGGAGTTTGTTGCTTTAAAATCCACCTTATTTTTTTGAAATATTTCTTTTCAAGGGTATTTGTTACCCTGTCCGTTAGTCTTACTACCTTATCATTGATTTCTTTTAACAATTGCGGATCTTTTTGATATATTGCATCTTCCAACTCAATACACTCCTTTAAAATTCCATATTTTTTGTTTTTTACAAGCTTAATAGATTTACGTAAACATGTCTCTTGGAATCTTTTTTTTAACATATAGCATTCTACCGGGATGCTAATCTTGTGTATGGACATTAGAAATACTTTCTTTTCAGCACATTCCTTAAGGAATTTCAACTTGCAGTTAGTCTTAACCAGCTTCAAAGCAATCTTTCTATATACCTTATAATAATTGGCCGGTGTCGCCATTGCAACTATTCCCACTTCCTCAGCCGTATTTTTACAAATATAAACAAAACATCAAACTCTTGCTGAGCTTATTATTATTTTAATTTCAAACGTTTTCAGCCCAATTACAATAGGCCATCTTCAAGAACTATTCGAATACAACTTTCGAATAAATTTTAAATTTAAACTTTTAACATAAACTGTAACNCCGATCAAAATCCCGTATCTCGTTCTGAAGTAATTTTTCTGCAGAAACGTTAAACTTCCTTCAGCAGTCCGTTATTACCCTATGTTGATTATAATTTTTTTTTACTTGTGTATTGAACTAGATTTAACTCGGGACCTACGAGAGTTTTACAGATCACGAGAAATATGTTTCGTCATCAACTAATGCCGTAATTCAAATTTGAGCAAATATTGGAATAACGAGGAAACCGAGCAATAGTAGTGTTATTTGCACTCGGCACTTTGAAAATGTTTCTAAACACAATGGATACACCTAATTGCATGAAACATCGGTTTTTACAAAGTTTTATTTTTCTCAGTATTTTCTTAGTAAACGAACATGTTTTGTTAACATAGATAATAACACCTATGAAGAGCGGAGCGTGCAGCAGCAAGATAAAGCTCAAATGCCTGGCCCATCACATCAGATAATCAGGCTCATCGTGGAGTTTCTGTAAGACAAATGTAAACCAAACATATTCACTATAAATGTAAATAAATCACGTTTATTGATGGGTTACTTCACATGGAGCTCTCCATAAATTACATCCGCATTTTTCTTGAAACTATTACTCCCCCTCTTGTTCCAGTTTTTCCAAGTTTCTGCAACCTTCTTTTTTCTTCGGACGTGCAACAAAACTTAACTCTCTTTAAACCTTTATCACTTTACGAAGGGTAGATACCATAAGTAGAAATAAAACTTACAAGAGATTTTGAAATATATACAGTAGATCCCCCTATAAGACGGTAGATACGTTCCGTTCTTTATGAATCAATTTTCTAGGAATCATAGTTTACGGACTACGGCTGTTTGAAAGGTTTTCTTTCATAAAATTAATCGATTCTAGACTAATTCGACTCAACATTTCCAAAATACGTATATTTTTTTGAAAATAATCCGTATAAACTACGTTATAAACAAAAAATTG